AATAGTTTATTTTAGCTTGGCGGTGGATTTAAGGTGTGTTGAAGGTAAAAGTGAAGGTGAAAGTGGTGGTGATGACGATAGTTTGATTATGGAAGTGGTGGTGAATTTAAAGTGTGATGAACGTGAAAGTGGTGGTGGTGATAGTGGTTTGATGAACGTGAATGTGTTGGTGGAGAAACTGGTTTGACCGTGGATGTGGTGGTAGATTTGAGGTGTGTTGAAAATGGTGGTGGTGGGTTGTGAATTTGAAGTGTCGGAGAGATTCAAGTGTTACTGGCAACAACGGAGTGGAGAAGGGTGGGTAAGGTGGGGTAAGATGAAGAGTGATTGAGACCAGTTAATTGGATAATTTATGACCTAATAAAATGTGTAATTTGCGATTGAATTTGTAATTGTGATTCACAAATTGTGTCTTTGTAATTTCGATCTTGTGTGATTTATGACCTTTTTAATTAAATTATTGATCACGGAATGTGACCACCTGATTTTGGAAAAAATTCACAAGTTCGTTATTTTTAAAAATATATTTTGAAACTTTTGTAGTTATGTATTTTTCTATGTATTAAACTAAGTTGAATTTAATTGACTTTTACAAGGTTTCAATGAACTAATGCTATTGTACTCGCTCATACTCTTCCTTTGTTGCCTATTTGCAGGATCCTTTTACTCATGTTAATTATCCGTATTTAAGTCGAAGACAAGTATTGATACAATAAGCATAAGCCTTAAAACACAATACACTCATTTCTTATTTAGTAGAATATCGAGACGTATACTAATCGGTATTGTAAAAATCGAACGAAATAAAAAAAAAAAAAATCCGGTTCCAATCTTGATTCAATCATGAACTAAAAATAGAAAAATTAGAATTCATTAACAACCTCTTAAACGACCGGTTTAGTCTCAAATTGACCAATTCACTCACCAAAAATTGTTTTAATTTATTTAATTAATTCTTTTGCTGCTAGTTCCACCTCAATTCGACCAATTGATCTCTTAACCTTCCTCTTTTCTTTGTCGATGTCTAGACTAATTTTTTTTTATCAATTATTTCATGAAATTTTCAATATTGCATGCTAGTATCTTGGAGACCGACTATCTCACACTTTATTTCCTGGAGTTTTCATCCATCTTCTTTGTGGTTGCACTTAGCGATCATGGAAGACATTGATGTTTTGATAAAAGCAGCTAATAACTTCTATGGAATCGAAATTACTTGAAGAATTTTGGAGGGGGAGATGATAGTGGTGGTGTCCCTACAATGACTTCTACCTAATATATGGCGATTTTTTAGGGGTTACAAGGGTTATAATTCGAAGCAAAGATTTGGCCAATTCTATGCCTTACAATGACCTTAGAAATCACACTCAGGCACACAACCAAATGCACTCAAGCAGGCTCAAATTCTCTGAGGGCTGAGAAGTGAAATTTTGTTAATTAACGTTAAAAATTAGCCAATTTGGAGGGAACCATTTTAAACCCATTCAGGTAAATTTTTAATTTTTTTTTTTCAAAAACGCGTTTTTGAAAATAGGGAAGAGAATGCGTTTTCACTGTTTTGGAAAATCGAAAACAGAAAACGGCTTGAAAATGGTAAAGACGACAGACCTTAAGTGATCGTTTGAAACATTTTTGATCTTGTCCTTTGATTATAATATAAATTAGGAATAATTGCAACAAAAGCCTCAAATCTTTGAAATATTGATAGACATTTTCCAAACTTTTGATTTGTTGCAACTGTCATCCCCAATTTTTCCAAACTTTGCAGATGAAGCAATTTTGGACGGTTTTCATCCACAATTCCATTGATTGACAAAAAAATTAACTTTGACAACATTATAATCAATTTTAATGAGGGTAAAATGACACTTTTATATTCACCACATTAAATAACAAAAGAAAAAAAAAGAAATGGAAAAATTGTACATTCCTCTTCCCAAATTCACCCATCTCACCCAATCTCCAGTCTGAATCAATAATCTTTGGATCACAAAGAACACGGGATTTTATACAAAGGAGTCAATCGCAATGATTGAATAGCCAAGAGAAAGTTTAGCAAGAAGAGGCACAAATTTTCACAAAGAAAGTGAAAGAAGAAATGAAAGAGAGGCTGCTGCTTTTCTATTCCTCCTTGCTGTTACGTTTTGTGTTTTAACAGTAGAGAGAAAATGTTTCTTTTGTCGGATTATAAAATATATAAGAATTCTTGTTATTGTGTAAAAGCCTAGTTGGATATAGTATGCCTCCATTAATTAATCCAACCCACCGAACAACTAAATGTGAATAAGTTTTTTGGAATTTGGACAATTTTTAAGTTTGTATTGTTTTGTGTATTTTCTTGAAATCTAGGGATATGGGTTTCTTGAATTGGTTTGGATTTTGATATGTGTGATTATTTTTGGTATATAGTGGTTTTTTCCTTTGGTCGGAGAGCACTGACGGGGTTGAAAGAATGTAACCGTTGGTGGTGGGGGCGGGGTGGATTTGGGATGAAGAAGGTACAATTTTTCCATCTCTTTTTGTTTTGTTAATGTGGTAAATGTGAAAGTACCATTTTACCCTTATTGAAATTGATTATAATGTGGTCAAAGTTAATTTTTTGGTTAATTGACGAAATTGTGGATGAAAACCGTCCAAAAAAGCTTCATCTGTAACGTTTGGAAATACTAGGGATGACGGTGCAACAAATCAAAAGTTTGGAAAAAGTCTGCTAGTGTTTCGAAGGTTAGAGTCTTTTGCTGCAATTATCCCTATAGATTATGATTATTATATTTTGTTTGTCATTTTATTGTTGAGTTTTAAGTAAAATAATAAGTTCCATAAAAAATTTATGAATGAAATTTCGTGAATACGTATATAATATGATTTTTGGGGTTCAACTTCGAAAATTCGTATCAATGCAATGAGAAAACCCATTATAAGGGATGCTAGATAAAGAAGAAAACCCATTATAAGGGATGATAGATACAACACCACATTCAATCAATGCACCAAAAGTTAGTTTTAAGGGATGCTACATAAAGAAGAAGGCACTACAACATTTATGGGTAAACCCATTATTTCTCACAATTAATGAGAAACTCTCTAAGAGCTTGTTTGTGAGGGATTAAAATCGAATTAAAATTGAAAAATTAGTCGTTATTGTTGACTTTTATTAGACGTGTGAAACCCAATAACGGCTATATTTTCAATTTTAATTGGATTAAAATCTCTTCCAAACGAGCTCTAAGGCAAACTTACAGAACTGATCTTCCACCATGGGCAGAAGATCAGTTCTGGGCAAAGATATTTGGCGTGCACCAAACTCCATTTTAAACTCAAATAAGCCCCTGTTTGTCTACCATTTTCCCAAAAATTATTTTCTACAGTAAACAATCTCCACCACATTTCATCTAATAAAATATTCTACACATAAACCAATAAAGTTACTTTAAATTTCAACCACACATTCTTCAAAAAATACTATTCATTACATCATTTTCCTCCCCATAATGGTAGACAAACAGGGGTTAAGTCTGCCTCAAGTACAACTTGAATTTGAAGCTCATACAACTACTAGGCAATTATACATACAATTCAAACACACCATTCACCAACTGTTCCATTACTCGAGGACTCCCCAACTACTTTCAACCACTGAGCCCTGTGATTGTTTTGTGTCGACCAAAATGTGAACTAGAATCAGCTAGGTAGCAAGCTAGAACTTGTCCATGCTGTGCTGCTTAAATCCAAAACCTACATCTTTTCATCCTGGTACATGATGTCGAGAAATCGAGCACATGCTATCAGACTATTTTGTCCGTCATCGAATAATCCTACACGTTATTGGAAAATTTTGCACAACTCCAACCAAGCAGTGCTTTCATCAAGTAAATCTTGCACTACACAACTTTTGTCCTTGCTGGATGTATGCACATCCGTGCAATCTCCTTGCACCCCTTGGCCAAATGCTTTTATCACACGCACATTTTATGTTGTACTAACATACCTTTTTAAGTACAACCGTCACAAGCACATCCTTTTGAGGCATCAACATGATTTTGGGGGTTTAACACTTGGCCTATAGCAGGGTTAATGCTATCCTTCCCACACTCAAAAAATTGTTTCTCCATCCATCATGAAGCAAATAGTGTAGCACACATCCTAGTGACACGACATTTGTAGTTGTTTAGAGTTTATTTCTAGTCTAATTGATCACCTGACCGTAAACAACTTGTAGGTTGTAGCATGTTAGAATGTTTGGACGTGCTTATAGCTTAAGAATAAACCCTATTTTACGATAAGAAAATGTGCAAAGTCAGCACATGTAGAACACAGAGTTCAAAAATATGATAATCTACGAGGTGAAAGTTAGCCCATTTTTGTTCCTCATTTTCTAAACTCGTCTGTAATCATATATTTTATGGAATTCATAATTTTTAATAACTTTTCAATCATATATTTTTCTAAATTTTTGTCTAAAATTACTAAAAATTAAATTTTTAGCTAAACCAAAAAATGGGCTTATTTTTGCAAAAAGAATTGTGAGACCGACTGCTAAAAAGGTGTGGGTTAAATAATAATTGGGTTAATCCATTTGTACATAATGGATTATCCCCTCTCACATAACGCGTGGGGTCTGCATGTATTTAAAAATTTCGACAATGTGGTCCCCATCCCAATTGTGAGTAGTAGGTAAAATATTCGGTAAAAAAATTCGGTACATGTAGCATGATCCATAATAATTTGTGTTTTACACTTTTATTTGAGAAAAAAAAGAAAAAAAATATTGCGTGCTAAACCTTGTAGTTTTGAAAGAGTGTCGATTAAGTAAAAGGACTTCACTAGCGACGTCAAGCGAGTTGCATCTCGCGACCGATTACTTCAAGGAACCCTAAATCGGCGACTTGGCGTCTCTCGATCTTCAAATTTCCGATCGATTAATACTCGAATACAAGCAAATTGCAGTGTAATTTATTAGTATCAGACTTCAATTTCCAGTTTACAGAACTCAATTTTCAATGTATAGACGTTTGATAAATACCGACGTGATGAGGGCCGCTGATGCTGCGGCAAGCCTTCGGTCGTACTCCGGACCTTCCTCTATCGCCAACCTCCCTCTTGTTTCAGCCTTTCTAGCCTGTGCTGTCGCTCAGTTTCTCAAGCCCTTCACTACCTGGTACTCTTTCTTTCTTTCTCTCTTGATCTTTCTGTTTACTTGATCATAGAACAAATATTGAATATTTATGCGTGGGTAGGTCATTTTTATCACTGGATCTGCATTGATTAAATTGTGAGTCTTTACATATGATTACGTGTTTAATTTGACCTCATTTGTTCATATTTTGTGTTGTTGGGTCCCTATTTGAAGAAGTTTTGCTAAAGATTAGCCCGTGTAAACATTGACGGCTGCACATTTTCACCAGCACACTTGCTTCGAGTTTTCTGGAGAATAGAGTTGCATATGTCTATGTGGGTTTGTGAAATCAAAATAAAGTATATGTTTGATATTGGAAGTGATGGATACAGAGATGTTAAGACTATGATTCCATAATACCAAGTGATATTGCATTGGAGGTCGTGGTGCCTAGTAGTCAAATATGCATAGCCATATAGTCTTGTTTCGTTCATGAAGCAGTCTTAAGTTAGGATTCTTGAGCAGGGTCTAACATCCCTACATTAGTTTATAGAAGTCAATGAATAAATTCTCATCCTTTTTTCTTGTGATTTCTTGCTTGGTTTTTCACTTTATCCTATTAGATATGCAGGTTAAAGGATAATAAATGGGATTCTAGAAGGATGCTTAGCTCAGGTGGAATGCCATCATCACATTCTGCAACTGTTACTGCTCTTGCAACTGCAATTGGTCTACAAGAGGGAGCTGGGGGGCCAGCATTTGCCATTGCAGTGGTCTTGGCCTGTGTTGTATGTACTTTTTTAATGAGGTTTCTTCTATCCTTTTGCATTATCTGCTTGTTTTGACAGATAGCTGATGCACTCAGATAGTGAGAAAGCTCGTGCTTCAATTTTTCTCTCTCTTTTTTTTGGTTCTAATTTTGAATGGAATCAAATATACTATGAAACCAAACACATAAGCGAATATTTTCCCGATTGATGCAGCATCATTGTTATTTTTTTACCTCTGAAGATGGTCTGTGGCTTCAACTGAACAGCATTTTAGAAAAATCCTTGCATATTCAAACCTTGACCAATTATTTCTCTCAGATAAAGAGATTGAAATTGTGCAATCTTGTTTCATGGAATGTTCCATTTATCATTTGCTATGGTGTTTTTGCCTTGACATTCAGAGAAAAATTGCAAGAATACTGAGGCTTGAGTACACAAGTTTGTGGACATTTTAGTCTTAATTCTTCCTGCCATATTTATTTATTTAGTGTCAACCTTTTGGTTAATCATAATTTTTTGCTAATAATTTCAAGTTATTACAGGTAATGTATGATGCTACTGGCATTAGACTTCATGCTGGTCGACAAGCTGAAGTAAGATCTGATTCTGTAATCAAACATGATCATCCTTTATTTCAATTTTCCTTTGTCTAAATTTGAAAATTAAGTGTTTCCTCTGGTTATATAATTTGATAAAAGGTAGAACTGGTGATAAATGAGATAGAATGCAGTCTGTGTTTCCTTTGTTTGTCTGTTGGGAGATCCGTGGGGCCTCTGACCACCTTATGTTTGTCATTTTCTCTTTTAGATGTGGGATTGATTTGCATTTCATACTACCTAAGTTCACATGGAATCTTTGTTTCGGAGATTTATATAAATTTGGTTCATTAACATTTGCCTGTTTTCTTTTTCTCGAATGTGGTACGTTCTGATTTTTATGCAGTTATTGAACCAAATTGTGTGTGAATTGCCTCCGGAGCATCCTGTTGCTAATGTTAGACCTCTTCGTGATTCACTTGGTCACACCCCCCTTCAGGTATGATCACAAACAATATCAATTAGATTAGGCTGCTCGATTAAATCACCTTATTAAGTTACTATACAGTTTGCTTGCTCTGAAACTAACTTAGCAGTTCCAATTCTGTTTACTTATTAGCTTGTATTCTGTTGGAATTTCAGTTCTATTGTGAATAGATAATTGTCTTTGAAATCAAAACGATAGTACCGTCGCTCTTCCAATGAAGTATACCAAGATAATCCCATATATGAAGTGCAATGTTTTTTTAACCTGACCAATTTATACTAGTAATTTATTTTTGTTTTATGCTGGTTGTTTAAGCAGTTTGAGAAGTTGACTGCCCTTACTTTAATTCTTGAAGGTGATTTATGCTTTATCAACCCATATCATTTCAGTGGTTATTGATAGGGAGTTAGAATCATAAGAAATTATGTAATTAAAACCATCAGAGTTTAGATTTTTTTTATGGAAGTGAACAAGTATATTTAGCTAATAAATAGAGCTGGGTGGTTTGTCAGATTAGTGTTGGTTGATCTAGATTACGTTTGAATATATAGAAGGATAGTATGGTAATATAGGCAGGAGATGGACAAAATCTTGGCTATCGGGGTGAAGGATTCTGTGTAATCTATCTCCTGGTCCTTGAATAGAGCTAAAGGCTCTGTGTTTCTCCCATACAACTTTGGCCTTCATAAAGTCCCATTTCCAGTCAGTAGAGATTGAGAAGAGAATAAAGGATACAAACAGGCATTTCCTGTTAATAAGAGGTATCAGATCGACTTAAAACGCGAAATCATCTGTCATAATTGTATTGATCACTGAGAGAACCAAGTGTCCTGGCTTGAGAGGACTGGAACATTTGATGCATGCCTTAGCTAGCTGGGCTTTGTCTTTTAAATGTAGAAGTTCTGTCAGTAATGTTGGACTCTCCGTGTGCTCAAGTAACTGCTTTATCCACATTCAAGCTTATTTGTGTGCCCACCCAATTGGTGTGACCAGAGTAAACAATCATCTTAAAATCATGCTGTTAGAGGGAATGTTTGGTTGATATTTCAGAGTGCTGAACGTAAATTTGGTGTGAAATCATCTGTCATAATTGTATTGATCATCTGAATATCTTCTCGTTCTTTCTTTCCTGTCTAGTTACATCGCTTGTTCATTAGCTCTTTTCAGGTATTATTTTGATAAAACGAATTGGCAAATAATTGATGGTAAAAGTTAATTGAAGCTTACTGGATCTTTCTTCCTTTTCACCCACTTTTTTGCCTGATGATAGTTTTGACTAATTACCTGCAGGTTGCTAGTGGTGCTTTGCTGGGATGTCTGGTAGCATTGCTCATGGGAAGCTCTATTTAAAGATTGGCACTCGATATACGAGCTTTTTTAGCTTTCGATGAAGACAACAAAATTGCATATAATCTCCCCAAAAAAAAACATGAATTCTGATTACTTGAGAAGCCTGTTCTTGATTTCTACTTTTTATGTAGGGTGTTGTGTTGATAAAGTCCTCCGTCTTTGTATAAGATTATAAAACGTTTCCCCGAACACTGTATGGATCTTAGCGTGTCATTTATTTTCTTTATTTGAACAATCATGCTAGTACATTGTCTTTGACATCAAGTTTGACATTGTGTCACATATTGCAGCATGATTGGCCAGTTTGAAAATACAACACACTTTCCAGCCACTTCATTTTTGAATTTGCAAATGAGTGTCAAATTCTATGTACACAAGGAGTGTAAAAGGAGCATAATTCTTATTTGAATGTTACACGCTCGCTTGTGCTGGTTGATTTCGTCAGTGTAAATTTCATGCGCGGTGACTATGCATGCTTTCACTTTATTTCACTTTTGGAAGGGATTGTCGCGTCTTAGCTTCAATTGGCAGATTTGAAAGGTACACCTTGTACAGCTGCTGGTACTCCGTTCTGAGCTATGGTGACTCACTTTTGAGAGAACAGGGGAGCCCCAACCAGTTGGTGCTATTTATCCGATATCCTATTGTTGAACAATTAATGATATGAGATCGTAGGAAACGGGTACTCTTTTGTTTTGACATGGTATTTAGCTCTTGTTTGGACTCTATTTTTTTCAAAATTATTTTCAACCACAAATTCACCCTTAAAATAATTCTATACGTAAATCTAAGAGTCTCTTTTATTTTTGGACTTTTCTAGGGGTACATAAATTTTCAAATAATGGTTTACATAATTACATGTGACATAATTACATGTGGCACATATCCAACCTTTAATTCAAATCTCACACTTTCACATCAACTACCAGATGATTGCCACATCATATTATGTACCCCCTTATGTACAACAAGTATTATCCTTTATTTTTAAAGCACACATTTGTCAAAAAATCACTATTCTAAAACTTATTTTCCTTCCAAAATGGGGCTCAAACAAGGGCTTAAAAAGACTCGACTGTGAGATAAAATAGAACTTTAATTCTTTAATATATGTTGTGTGGGGCCCAGAACACAAATCCCAAAGAGCCCATTTATTGGTTCTCCAAAGAAAGAAAGAAAGAAAGAAAGAGACTAGAAAAATGACCTTCTAACAAAATATGGTTCAAAAGATAAGAATCATATTCCTTCGACCGACCTTATCTTTTATTTCCCAATTGAATTCAAGTTTTCCCCCTCTTTTGCATGTTACTTGTCGATTTGATCATAATTCAAATATCTTATTATAATATTTGATTAGTGATAACATATTGTATGGTTAAAGGCAACTAAAATTCGTCTCATATAATTATTTTATGATATTCACATTATTTATCTTTCATTTTAATTCTTACCCATATTATATATCTTTGAAATGATATTTTATTTGTATGACGTTCTCAAGTGGATAGCTTGGTGGTTATCCAAGATTGGTGGGATCAATTCGATACATATAGGATCTTAGCACCGTGCAACTCAAAAAGTTAATCTTGACTCTCGATTTTAAGTAGATCCAGACAGCTTTAGATCTAAATTGCGATTAATTGGGGCCCATATTTTCATTTGGATATTCCACACATTGGAATTTATCTTGAACATATATTGGGGCCCATATTTTCATTTACTGAGAATTGAGTTTCAATCTTAAAATGTTAATATGTTAGAAATAATCCGATACCTTCCTCATTTCCTTTAAAAAACACTTTTGATGATTCAACGCGTTAGTCGACCTTTTCTCGATCACCCCACAAAAAAAGAAACAAAAATAGATTGAAAAAGAATCTACAACGACATGTATCATCGATCATACTTTTCTACGTTGTTTTTTTTCACATAGTATCATAATAGTGTTTTTAGTACTGTTTTTTCAAATATACGACAGTCCTATCAATCTTTATATATGCGTGCGAGAGTGCAAATAGTCCCCCACCCCCACATGCATTAAATTCCCATCAAACCATAGAATCACTTCTCCTCTTTCTGTCACGCACACAAGGGACTCTATTGAAACTCATGGAGAAGATGAAGAAATCCCAAATTCTGAAGCTTTTTTTGATATCAGCTCTTTGCATTATAACGCCTCTTTTATCCACATCTTTCAGACCTAAATATCTCTACTTCATCGTCAACATTCTCATCATTGCAGTTGGAGCAGAATCCGGGCTTGCTTCATTTTTCCTTAAAGCTCCAGAAAACAAAGAACGTGCAGAGAAATCGACCACCACCTCAAACGATGTTACTAACAGTATAGATCAGACTACGAACAAATCGGTTAGGGTTTTCAAGAAATCTTCATCTGAGAAGATTGCCGATACAGTAAAGGTTTTAGAAAAATCTCCTCCGACCCAGGGCCTATTTTTTATTGAAGAAGCAGACGAAGAAGATTGCATCGAAGAAGACGATGTCGATGATGAGGGAGAAGAGGTTGGGGTGCTTAGTGGGCAGGAATTATATCATAAAGCTGAGACATTTATTGGAGACTTTTATAATCAGTTGAAGATGCAGAGAGATGAATCAATGCAGAAACTTCATGGCATTTATCAAAAGGCCTTTTGAATTTACTGTCTTTCTGTCAATTGGATAACTTATGCATAATTTAGAAATAATTTAGATTAGTAGTGTCAAGTTTAGTTTATATAAAGGTTTCTTCTTGTACAGTACTGGTTTAATATTTGGGCTTAATTACTGGTTTACTGCTATCAGACACTGAAGGATATTGCTACACTGGTTGTAGCATTATCGATGAATGATAGGTAGAAAGGCTAGCATTTGATGGGAGCATGCTAATTGTTAGGTTTTTTTTTTAGCATGGTCGAGTCGTTAGTATGTTTCGTGCTAACAAAAATGTATTTCTCTCGATGTATATTAAGGTTGATGGTTAGGTTTCTTAGTATGGTCGAGTGACAAGTATGTTTCGTGCAAATAAAAATGTACGTATCTTTTTGTATATTAAGGTTAATTTTGTAGTATGCATGTAAGGCTCAAGATTATTAAAAATAGACGTTTTAAAATTTATTAATTGTTTTTATCTAATTTAACGTATTAAACAAGTCAAAAGTGATTAGATAGACGAAAAATAATAAGATGTGAATTACAAAAGTAATGGTCTCATGAGATGCACATAATCTTGAATGACATACACAATGGTTGCGTTCTATACTTTGTTATTCTTTTGTTAGAATAATTGAATAATGCATGAGAATTTTCTTAATTGTTAATTCCTTTCATGAGATAAAATGGGGATTATTGTGGGTATATTCCTTTGAAATTGACAAAAGGTTTTGTCCTTTGGAATGTTGTTCTTTTGATCACAAAAGGGGAGGAACCCTTTAATCTTTTCTTGCGTGTGGTGCTGACAGAGAAACAGTGACATTTTTCTTTTTTGAAGTTTTAAATTTACTGTCAATTGTAGCCTATGAGGGCCCATGAACCCATCCTTATCTTGCTTTTTGTATTTTCACAAAATGGCCTTTGGACTATTAAGGGCCATTTTGATTGCAGTACTATTAGTTGGGCTAAAACCCAAATGTGGCCCGTTATATTTTGGGTCAACATGTAAAAGAACTGGCCCAAATTAGCCCTCAACTCATAATTAGCTAAAAAAGTTTATATAAAGTGGAAATTACACCCACACCTACATTTGGAGATTCAAATTCTAAAATCAGATTTAGTATTTTAAGTTTCAAAAATCAGATATTTAAATGTATAAATACAGATTTTTTATATTTAATTAAATATTATGAAAATTAAATTATATGTCCCACCCACCCTTAAAATTATCAAACCTAATCAATGTTCTAAAGTACAGTACTGGTTTAATATTTGGGGTTAATTACTGGTTTACTGCTATCAGACACTGATGGATATTGCTACACTGGTTGTAGCATTATCGATGAATGATAGGTAGAAAGGCTAGCATTTGATGGGAGCTTACTAATTGTTAGGTTTTCTTTTTTAGCATGGTCGAGTCGTTAGTATGTTTCGTGCTAACAAAAATGTATTTCTCTCTTTGTATATTAAGGTTAATGATTAGATTTCTTAGTATGGTCGAGTGATTAGTACGTTTCGTGCAAATAAATATGTACATATCTTCTTGTATATTAAGGTTAATTTTGTAGTATGCATGTAAGGCTCAAGATTATTAAAAATAGACGTTTTAAAATTTATTAATTGTTTTTATCTAATTTAACGTATTAAACAAGTCAAAAGTGATTAGATAGACGAACAATAATAAGATGTGAATTACAAAAGTAATGGTCTCATGAGATGCACATAATCTTGAATGACATACACAATCGTTGCGTTCTATACTTTGTTATTCTTTTGTTAGAATAATTGAATAATGCATGAGAATTTTCTTAATTGTTAATTCCTTTCATAACATAAAATGGGGATTATTGTGGGTATATTCCTTTGAAATTGACAAAAGGTTTTGTCCTTTGGAATGTTGTTCTTTTGATCACAAAAGGGAGGACCCCTTTAATCTTTTCTTGCGTGTGGTGCTGACAGAGAAACAGTGACATTTTTCTTTTTTGAAGTTTTAAATTTGCTGTCAATTGTAGCCTATGAGGGCCCATGAACCCATCCTTATCTTGCTTTTTGTGTTTTCACAAAATGGCCTTTGGACTATTTAAAGGGCCATTTTGATTGCAGTACTATTAGTTGGGCTAAAACCCAAATGTGGCCCGTTATATTTTGGGTCAACATGTAAAAGAACTGGCCCAAATTAGCCCGCAACCCATAATTAGCTAAAAATGTATATATAAATCCAAGTTAACATCAACAATTAAATTCAACTATACATCTTATAAGACATACAAATTTTGCCAATTTTTTAAACATATATATAATCATCTTTTAAAAAAATCTACTAAAAATATAATTTTTAACAAAACGAAACATGTAGTCCCGATTGTTAGTTGTGGACAGCAAAAGGAGGACTATTCAAGTCAGGTTCAATGGATAATGAAGATAGAATAGCGGTTGGATTGTTAGGACACTCTTATCTTTAGAGATAAATAAGGGGGTGAACTTTTTGTACTTCAACACGTTCAGTCCATTTTTAGTTCAATTCAAGATGGCGTAGGACTTATTCAATTGAAGTGTTGAGTCACGTCAAGCGCGACTTTATTAAATTTTATTTTGTGTGTGTACAAAATTAATATTGATACAAGTCCTCAACTCTGCCACATTTCATTTTTTTTTTTATCGACGAGCTCAAATACCTGTCAAAAATTTACATTTGCTTGGTTTACACCTCCCTATTTCGGAATGTCACACAACCTTTTACACAATGTTTTAAAATGTGCGCAAATGCTCAATGCGTTTTCAAAACGTCTCGCATATAAGGTATGTGCGTGATAATTCGATCAATCCATTTTATTGACCGCACACTTAAAAGCCTAAATGAGCACGCATTGTATTAACAATTGTGTCAAAATTAATCTAGCAAATTTCCGGCCCTTTTTATAACTTAAAACAACAAATTGATCCTTACAAGCATCAAATCAACCAAAATCACCCAAACCCAAGAATTATATACAGCATTTTGTAGGGTTTTGTTGTTTTAAAAAAAAATCAAAACAATTTGTCCATAGAGTTGCAAACTATCTACGATGAGCCCGATCCTCTTCTTTTTCATTCTTTCTCTAGTTTTACTAGCAAGTGATGTTAGTAATGAATAGTCTTGGATTGTAGATAGTTGTGATGATGAGGAACGGGTTAATAATGATATACTATCATCTACAAGAGATAATCATCTACAAGAGATAATATAAATTCTTGAGTTGAATAAGAGAGCTCAATAAAGATGATTTTACATCAAATGACATGAAAGATGACTTGGATGAAGAGGTGTTTGAACAGGAATTCGATAAAGATTTAGATAATACTTATGATTTTTTAGCCGATATTTGTGTCTAATCTAAATGTAGGAATTTATTATCAAATAATTGTAGTATTTATGATTTTGAGTATGCACAACAACACAGTCAACTCAAAATCAGAAAGACGAAACCAAAGCAAAGAGGACGATGTCGACGAGAAGACCAAGGTAACTGGAACCAAGGCCATCATATCTGAACTCAATATCATCTTGAAATTTTACTTTTTTGGCTGAATTGAGAATATCTGTAAAAAAGAAAAAAAGAAAAATGGAATTAATTCGGATCTTGACGGGATCCGAGCTTCCTAAACTTTATACTACTGGATCTCTGCAAGATCTTGCCATCTTCTTGATTTATTGATTATATTTGAATATTATATTGAATAGTTGGGCCATTTTTCTACAATTTTCCCATATTATTAAAATAAAATGAAGATAAAATCAAGAAAGTGGAGCATTGGAATTTGGAAAATTGAGAATTTTAGAAAGTGATGTCCTGTCCAGTCAACTATACACGGCATATTAAAAACGCTGATTTGATTGCATGCAGAATTAGGAATAATTAATTATTTTTAACAAAAAGCCAATAGCATAATGCAACTTGTCTATGCTTCCAAACCTTTCCAACTTTGATTTGTTCCTTGGTCTTGCATTGATGGTTACCTTATTATATTAAAAATATTTTTATAAAAGTAGCCGTGAACGTGCACCTCTTTCTTGAAAATAAAGTTTCAAATTTTAGATTGAAAAACCCAATTTGCTGAATTCGAATCTCATCTTGCAGGCATTGCCAAAACTTTAAAGGTTTAAAGAAAGAAAAAATAGACTTACTTTTCTTTTTCGTCGGAGACGGAGAGTATATGCTAATTTTTTTTATTTTTCTAATATGCCACTTATTATCAGCAAATATTAATTACTTCTATTTAAATCATTATTTAGTATAGGGGTACACTAGAAAAAAAAGTAAGGAAAATGTATATTTTCTACTATATAAATTATATTTTCTTATTCCGTGTGAAAATGAAATAAACTTATCTTAATTGGACAAATTGAATATAAAATAACACTGGGTGGTCCTAAGTGAGGAGTTTAACGTAGGGGTGGGGAGTGGGACGAGCTGCTCACTAGCTCAGCTCGCACTCGAGGCGAGTTGTGGGCGCGAGCCAAGCAGTAACTTGTGCAAGTTGCTTGTTGACTTCCTGGAGTTGTCTCTCAAGCAAGCGAGCTCTCAATTTTCAATTCAAATTCCTCATCAAAAAAAATAAATATTGGTGAACCTAATCAAAGGACAGGTCGAGTCAATTTGAGCCAAGTCACACTTCCATAAAGCGAGCCAGCTCATATGATGGGCTTAATAGAGCAACTCGATCCGACCCATTTAACTCCCCTAGTTCAGCTTTATTTTTTGCTTCAGCCATTCAGAATTTTATCCACAACACATAACGATCTTAACTTACTTGAAGAATCAGCCCCTCCCCGAACCCGTCCCGTTGACATCTCTAAGTGGTCCTAGGTAAAGAGTTTAACGTATGGGTGGGGAGGGGTACGAGCCACTTACTAGCTCAGCTCGCACTCAAGGGGAGTTGTGAGCGCGAGCCAATCGGTAACTTGTGCAAGCTGCTTGTTGACTCGCTGGAGTTGGACTCTCAAGTGAGTGAGCTCTCAATTTTCAGTTCAAATTCCTCACCTAAAAAAATAAATATTGGTGAACCTCGTCAAAGGATGAGTCGAGTCAATTTGAGCCAGTCACACTTCCATAAAGCGAGCCAGCTCATATGATGGGCTTAATAGAGCAACTCGATCCGACCCATTTAACTCCCCTAGTTCAGCGTTATTTTTTGCTTCATCCATGCAAAATTTTATCCACGACACATACGATCTTAACTTACTTGAAGAATCCACCCTCCAAAAGTCGTGTTCAAATTGTGGAGTGTGAACTCTACTGTCACCTAGACTGTTGTTGAACTCAATGTTGCTCGTAGGTAGCTTTACTCATTCTGAGCACCTCATCAAAAAAAATTATTACGGAAAAGAATAAATTGACATCTCATCAAATGATAGTATTTTATTACTTGAAAGAATTGCAGGCTTAGCATAACAGTTTCTCAATTCTTGGAAGATGAAGGAGGAGCCTAAGAGTCTAATTTTTGGTGCCACTCTAATTATCTCATCACTTATTCTCCCTTTGATCTGTGTTAGTGTTGATTTCTTTTGGGGCAATACTGTTCCTCTCAATCGATGTAACTCTTTCGTTTACATGTTTTTCTTGTGCTTGGACTCGTAGTTTTGAAGCTTCAACCCTGGCTAACTTCGAATTCTTGGATATGACAGGGACCCGACACTTTTTCTAGTTCAGAAACTATTTTAGCAGAAGAGAACTCAATGGAACAATCGAAGGGCCGGAGTCCTTGGAATTTCTTTTATCTAGATTAGGTTTGTATTACTTTCTCGTCTCTTTGTTAGAATTTAGAAAAATATGTATCGACTTAGCTAAATTTGTGATGCACGTTAACAGGAAAAGATCGGAAAAATCTTGAAGCGACTGGCTTTGCATTGGACAAGGCTGTTCTGTTGTTTGTATTGCAAAAGTGTACGTTTTTTTCAGATGGAATCGAGGAACAAGAAAATGTGGTTCGGCCTAATACAAGACAGGAAGACAATCTTGAGTTTTATGACACCAGTCGATATACTAAAAGGAAACACCACTCCACCAGCTTGTCTATACAATCACAATGTTCTGGCTGTTATCTTCTCGTCTGGTACCGTAGGAAATGTTTTTCACGAAATTAATGAAATTGTTATTCCCCTTTTCATTACCTCTAAACATTTCAAATCCCGCGTGCTCTACATCCTTGAGGATTACAAGCCTTCATTTATGAGCAAATATGGCAAGGTTATGTCTCATTTGTCTTAGCACGAGGTTACGAATCCGGCTGCAAATGGAAGTGTTCATTGCTTTCCAGGATCAGTAGTCGGGCTTAAATACTCAAAGGTTTTTGAATGAAGACGAAATGGTGGCGATGATGGAAGAAATAGGCTTTCAAGTGATTGTGGTAGCAAGATCAAAAGTGATATTGAATTTGAACAAATTTTCTCGATTGATTAACTTGTGCAGCGTTTTAGTGGGAGCACAAGGAGCTGGACTTACGAATGAGTTGTTCTTGCCTTCTGGTGCCGTTATGGTGCGAGTAGAATTACAAGGTACGGAATAGCCCTCAACCACTTATTACGGGAATGCTGCTCGTCCAACGGGTGTACATTACTTGAGGTATAAGATCGAGCCCGAGGAGTGCACACTTCTAAAATTGTACGGAAGAAATCCTTCGTTCATCACTGATCCCGGATATCTCTTTAGAAATGGTGGCTACCATGCAGCCAGGACCGTGTTTCTTGATCAGCGGAACCTGAGGAATCAATCTTGTTAGGTTTAGAGACACGCTCGTTGAAGTACTTAGCCTTTTTATAGACTCGGATTTCTAAAGTTTTGCCACACGAACGGGTTACAAGTGAACTAGGAAAGGCTAAACTTCGTTCCTATATAGTAAAAAAAGTTCTTTTTTCTTTATCATATAACTACTCGAAGTAACTGTATCCGAGATATAAAGTTAGGTTAAGCTTATTTTGACCTATGCTTCCCTCTGGACCCGACCGCAGTGAAAATCGCGGTCTTGAAATCGATATCGGTCTCGTCAACTAAAAATTAGCATGTTTAATGCCCGTTATGAATGGTAGATAACTATCCAAATCTTCTAGCAGCTTGGCTTGAACAAGTCAGAATATGTGAATATATCAGGTTGGTATGCAGAATAAATAATGCAAATTTCAAAAATTTAATGATAAATTAAGTAGTTTTCAAACTAAAAAAAGTCAAATTTTCCAATTGGAAAGAGTGAAAAGGGAATTTCATCGACGCAGTCAATTCATAATGCAACTTGTTTGTGGTCCTAAATACATTGATTGATTGCTTTCTGATTATCTGATTTAAATTCCATCTTTTACAACTTTGGAGAGGTCAAAAACTAGAAAAAAAAAAAAACTAAGGGGCAGCTGATTTCGCTTTGAATCCTCGATATTCTTTGTGAATCAACGAGCTTTTGAAATATTAATCATCTTACGAGCATCGATTTTCTGTCAAGGCAAAAATATTCCTCTATCTACCATAAAAAAATTGGCTTCTTCTGCACAAAAAACTTGAGGAATCTGGGGAGGCATGGAAGGTGTGGACATTAAAAACGTCAACACTGCCCTTAATTTTTTATTCTTGTGATAGCGAAATTCTAATAAAATAAATTTCATGGAATTGCTTATTCTTTGAAATTTCAAGTTTTTTTTTGTAAGTTTCTATGACAGTTTTAGATTGGCTGTTGTTCTCAATGATTAAGGGTTTAATCATGATATTTAAAACTTTATTTTGGTATTGAACTAACCAATAAAGCCAAATATTCAACAATGATATTGAGCAACCACGCAGCTTAAGTTTCCTTTTTTTTTGTGTGTGTAAATCTAATAGGAAAATAGCGAAACGGAGCAATACGAGCCCCTTGAACTGTGAACAACTAGTTCAGATGTACAGGACAAGAAGTACTGGATTTTCATTCGAATAAACCCTGTACAGAGAAGAAAGGCTAAATCTGAGTAGTCCTATGCATAATCAGTATCATAGCCCCAATTACGGCTAACCCAAAACGAGATGAAATATTACGTATAAATTAAATTGTAAAATGTTTCAAATTAGTCTAACTTAGTACCTTTTCGACATATGCGATCAACCAATATTTATCGATTTTGAAACAGAGTCCGTTCGATCCTCTTATCTCCATTTTTCGAACCGAGAATTTCATGAATTGAGATCTATTTGGATACAAATGGTTCAATTGAAGCAAGAATTTCCTAGAACATTTGAAATTTGAAAAATAGTTCTATTAGAGCTTTAAGAATTTCAAAGGGGCCGACGAATTCAGGTTCAATATCTTATACATACCAAAGATGCCAATTGATTAACCTCGATCAATTTTGACGTAAGGTTTGGCCAACCCTATACATACGAAGGACAGAACAATCTCCTCATCGACCTCATGTAGTGGGGTTCACAGATTATATGGATAAAAATTATGTCTGATCGATTTAAATTATAATTTAAGCTTTATCAAACAAATCTAACTGATCCAGTAAGATTGAACATATCACTTTATTCCATAGGATGACTGGCTATCCTTCACACTATGGAAGTTAGTCATTCCCCAAATTCCGTGTTTTGGGTTGACTTCCGTGGCTCGCGCATAGCTATTTCTCTCCAATAGTCACAAATTTGACTATTGATACAAATAGTAGTATACACAAGTTGAGGATAAAAAATAACAAGTCAAGAGAGAACAATCAGCAAGTTTCGTATATCCTTTGCTTAAATCACTAGTTAACAAAGAGATGCCTATCAATTGTTGAATAAGAAATGAAGTAATTGTCACAAGTTGAAAAGGAAACAGAAAAAGAAATTGACATCTCATCAGCTGGTAATATTTTAGTTTTTTTTAAAAAAAATTCTCTACTTCATAGTAATTCTTTCTCTTGCATATCATCCAAGAATTTGCAGCTGGTTATCCAACTAGTGGAGATGGAGAAAGAGCCTCGGAAACTCGTTTTTCGTTCGGCTCCAGTTATCTTCCTACTTGTCCTTTCTTTGGTGTATATTGATCTTTTTTGGGCCAATTTTATTTCGTTTGATCAATGTAAACTTCTACTTTTTTTTTTCTTTAATTCTGTTCGTTTTAGTCAATTATGCTGTATGACTAACTACTCGGATTGAACCATTCGATGTTTTATGGAAATGGCAGGGAAGAAATACAGGTCTTATTCAGAATCCATTTTCAACAATAGTAAGATCTTGAATGAAACACTTAAGCAGAACTCCCTGGATTTTCTGTTTTCAAGCCTCCTGGCAGGTCTGTGCCCCCTCCCTCTCCCATCCCCCATTCTGAAGTCAAATTAGTACTGATATTTTGATTCATTTAAACAGGGGAAGATCGGTCGAAGCTCAAAGCTACGGGATTTGCATGTAATACGGCTGTTTATTCGATTCATTGTGTCACGAATCAACCAGTGAGGATTGACACAAGAACCATGACAGTTTATATTCCCTCTGATCAGCCTGTGCAAGAAACTGTGATTAAGCCATATGCTAGGCAAGAAGATCATAATCTTCTCAAAATTGTGACACCGGTCAAGATTATGCACGGTAACACTACACCACCAGTTTGTCAACACAACCACGAAATCCCTGCTGTGATCTTCTCATCTAGTGGTTTTGTGGGCAATGTGTTCCATGAAATTAATGAAATCATCATCCCTTTGTATATTACGAGTAAAAACTTACGATCCCGCGTTTTGTTCATCCTTGAGGACTACAAGCCGTCATTTCTAAGCAAATATAGCAAGGTGATCTCTCGTTTATCGTCCTATGAGGTGATGAATCCGGCTGCAGATCAAAGTGTGCATTGTTTTCCTGGAGTTGTAGTCGGACTTAAGTTTCACGGCCATCTGTCTTTGAATTCGAGTGATGTCCCTAAAGGCCATTCAATGCATGAGTTAAGGCAGTTTCTCCGACAAGCATTTAATCTCAAGTTTAGCCATGTATCTCAGATCAAAAGGCCAACGTTAATGCTTTTATCTCGTAGAACAACAAGAAGATTCTTGAACGAAGATGAGATGGTTGCAATGATGGAAGAGTTGGGCTTTCATGTAATTCTTGTTGCAAGAGCAAAAGTTGTATCGAATTTGAACATATTCGCCAATCTGATAAACTCGTGCAAGGTATTCGTGGCAGCACATGGTGCTGGCCTAACAAATGAGTTGTTCTTGCCTGATGGTGCAGTCATGGTTCAAGTTGATCTGGTTGGCCTAGAATGGGCAGGGGCTACCTATTATGGCAACCCGGCTCGTGCAATGGGCGTGCATTACTTGCGATATAAGATCAAACCCGAGGAGAGTTCACTTTTGAAAGTCTTTGGACGAAATCATACAGTCATGACAGATCCCAGATCTGTCCACGACCCATTAGGCAAGGAAGCGTATCTTAACGGTCAAAATGTAAGAATCAATCTTGCAAGGTTTCGGGAGACATTAGTCGAAGCACTTAGTCTTGTTGGAGATTCGACTCTATGATTTTATGTGCAAGGATTCACGTTTTGAGTCGCAATCAGGCAAATGTATCAATATATTGCTCGGTACATATCAGGCAAGTGTAGGTGCAATAAGGGAAAACAATCAAGTGTAGATGTTCTTCTTGAAATGAATAGTGCAGTTTTCAACTTTCTTATAAGAAGCATTTTAGCAAGCAACTTTACATTTATCATTGTGGCAAGAATGTGTAGGATTCCTCATTGATACACAATTAAAGGAAGAAGGGACTAGTGTCAAGTTGTGAAGTATAATTATTGTTTCTGTAATTAGAAATAGTTCAGGAGTTTCACACTTATAATTTCAATTTTGTTCTATATAAAGGAAGTTGTCGTTAGGATTTTGAATAATCATAATAAAAGAGGGATAGGATATGCGATTTTCTCTCGTAAATTTCTTTTCATTATAGTGAATTGCTAATGCGACGGACGAGGACGTAGTATCAATTGAGACGAACCTTAATAAATCTTGTGTGTTCTTGTCTATTTGTTTATATGATTTTATTGCTCTTGAAAGTATAAAATTATAATTTCTAATTCTCAACAATCAGTGTCCCAAAACATCTGAGAGTTCTGCGAAGTTTATACCCGGCGAGTCATGGTCTAAGATTAGATCGAAAGGCTCATGCTGGAAGCCAGTCACAAAAAAAAACCGAACACGAAAGTCAACTCAATAAAAGGTGCAAAGAAAATTTGAAAAAATAAATAAATAAACAATTAAGAGATCGTTTCATCCTTGTCTTGAACGAGTATGGACAATTAATTTAAAATTGTAAAATTTTGCAGCCTTCTAAACTTTAGAGACAAAAAGTCAACATCTCAATGTACGTGATTACAATTTTTTTTTTGTTTGATTAATTAATTTATTTTTAAATCTACTTTCTTAAATTATATTTTTTAAAACATTTTTATTTTACACCACAGAGAAACGTGATTGGGGCACGACTTGCCCCGGTATTGGAAAATAGTGGTTTTAATTTATTAGTATGAGTTAAATCCATCAATAACCACCCAATTTTATACTCAGTGTCACTATGATCACCCAATTTGTTTCATTATGACCATTCAATTTTATAATTAGTGTCACCTTAGCCCCCCAATTTGGATATCTAATTTCATGTAACGTTTACCATGACCACCTAATTTCATATAACATTTCAATATGACCATCCAATTTCTTTTCACAATTTTCGCTAATTTTAAAATGGGTAAAACGGTAATTTTGTATTATGTATATATAATGAATTAAAAAAACAAAAACAAAAGTTCTTTTTTAAATTTTAAAAATGTTTATTTTAAAATAAGTTTTCATTCTATTTTAAAAACGTTTTTTTAAATAAGTTTTTATTTTATTTTATTTTTTTAAGGAAAGTATTTTTGAAAATAAGTTTTTATTTTATTTTATTTTTTTAAGTAACTTTTTTTAAAAATAATTTTTTATTTTAGTTTTTTTAAAAAATTATTTTTTATATATAATGCAAATTATTTGTATTATATATATAAAATATTTTTTTTAAAAAAAAGAAAAAATAATTTTTTTTAAAATAAGTTTTTATTTTATTTTATTTTTCTAAGTAACTTTTTTAAAATAAGTTTTTATTTTATTTTATTTTTTAAGTAACTTTTTTTAAAAATAATTTTTTATTTTAGTTTTTTTAAAAATTATTTTTTATATATAATGCAAATTTACCGTTTTACCCCTTTTAAAATTAATGAAAATAGTTAAAAAAAAGTTGATTGGTCATGGTGAGATGTTATATGAAATTAGACGGTCAATGTGAAACATTATATGAAATTGGATGGTCATAGTGAAATAAAATCAAATTGAGTGGTCATTGTGACACTAAGTATAAAAATTGGTGGTCATAGTAAAATAATATCAAAATGGGTGATCATGGTGAAATTTTATATGAAATTTGACGGTCAAGGTGAAACGTTATATGAAATTGGATGGTCATAATGAAATAAAATCAAATTGAGTGGTCATTGTGATACTAAGTATAAAAATTGGTTGCCATAGTTAAACAAAATTAAAATGGGTGACTATGGTGACATCAAGTATAAAGTTGGATTGTCATTGATGAATTTAACACATTTATTTTTTGTTGAATATTCCATATCTTGTGTCCCCAATAAAAAATATGTTTGATAATAATTATTAATTACAACTTATAAGAATAAAAATGAAGGGGACACGTGAATTTTGATTGCATGAAAATTAATGGTGCATTCGCTAAATCGTATATTTTAAGAAATTCCTCAAAATGCTATTTATTCTCTTGAAGTTAATCACAAGAAATTATGACTGTAATAAATAATGTTGATCGAGTAGTGCAAAGGATAATAAGTCGTAATTCGGTTGAGTTTATAGATGTTGAACACGATATAGTATTTTTTTTTTTTTTTAACTCTATGTCGTGTACATCACGTGCAAGCGTAGTAAAAAAATGACTTTGTTCCATTTACACCACTCGATTGTCAGATTGACTATTTCAACCTCATTTCTTTTGACTTTTTGCAATTAACTTCCATACTAGATGACCTTTAGAAGTTTCATTGAGATCAGGGGCGAAGGGGAG